AGAAGTTCAAAGATTCCTTGGAATGTGTGGGTTTTATAGGGAACACGTCCCACATTTTGCCAAAATTGCCAGACCCTTTAACAAGAAAGGAAAGCAAATTTATTTAGTCAGTAGATTGTGATAGAGCATTTGAAAAACTAAAAAGTAGATTACTTAATGCGCCCATTTTAGTAGCAGCACGCGAGAGGAACCGTTCATCCCAACAACAGACACGAGTGATAATTGTATAGGGGGAGTACTAGAACAAATCCAACCGGATGGAACGCAGGGAGTGGTAGATATTATAGTCGCAAATTGAACCCGACAGAGTGCCGATATTCTGTCACTGATAGGGAGCCTCTTGCAGTCGTTCTCTCATGCTGGAATTTTGGGGAAGATATCTGGGAAAACAGATTTTATAATATTCACAGACCATTTACCCTTAATAAGCATCTTTAATAAGAAGACGAAAAGCCCTAGAATGAGTAGATGGATATTGGAAATGAGAGAATATAACTTTGAGATCAAATATGTAAAAGGGAGGAGAATGCAGTGGCAGACCAATTATCTAGACCGGTCCTGAAGACTCAAACTAGATCTGATAAAAAAAACGACATCTTTTTGGCCTTACAAAAGATGAATTTAGTGAATGTCAATTGAAACAAAGTAAATGGAAAGAAGTAATCAAACATTTAAAGGGAGGCTCAATAGGAAAAATAAAATTTAGGAACATTTTGCATAACTTTCAATTGGATGGACTTCTGTATTACACAGTAATGAGAAAGAATAAGGGGATTAATTTCAATCTAGTAGTTCCAGACGAGTTGAAAGCTAAAAGTTTCTTAAATTCTCCCACGAATCAGTCGGACATCTGGGCACATCGAAGACGATTGACAAGATCAAAGAATTATTTTTCTGGGAAAATTTAAGGCTAGATGCTAAGGAACAACAGGTATTAAAACAAAGTTTCAGACATTTCCACCCGTAACTAAGCCACTTGAAAAGAGTATCAGTAGATACAACAGACATGATTGTGGACAGGAGACTAAGGTACATGCTTACAATTATAGACAATTTACTCCCGTTCCGTGAAATTATATGGGTTGAAAAGAAAACGGCCTCAAGTTCTGTGAAAAAATTGAAAATTTCTTTTGAGTTTGGCAACCCTGAGACTCTACTCTCTGATGGAGGTTTGGAGTTTAAAAACAAAAGATAGCTGACTTGTATATATATATATATATATATATATAATATATATATATATATAGATATAGATATAGATATAGATATAGATAGATAGATAGATTAGAGATTAGTTAGATATAGATATAGATTAGATATATATTATATATATATATATATATATAATATATATAATATAATATATAATAATAATATATAATATATAATATATAATATATAATAATATATAATATATAATATATAATATATAATATATAATATATATAATATATATTATATATATATATATATATTATATATATATATATATATATATATATATATATATATATAATATATATATATATATATATATATATAGATATAATATATATATATTATATAATATATATATATATATATATATATATATATATATATAATATATATATATATATATTATATATATATATATATATATATATATATATATATATATATATATATTATTATATATATATTATATATATATATATATATGATATATATATATATATATATATTATATATATATATATATATATATATATATATATATATATATATATATATATATATATATATATATATATATATATATATATATATATATATATTTTTTTTTTTTTTTTGTGCGTGTCCTACGGGGTGATACATAAAATAATAAACACCATACAATCCAAAAGGGACAATCAATAGGTGGCCAGGGTTACGAAACACACAGAAAAGTTGTCTGACTAGGGCCACCCTTGGGACCACTGGCGTAAGCCCTTGGTGGGAAATGTTTGGTAGAACACCACCAAGATTAGCAGGTTGTGGACGCCTACCATAAATCGAACCAGGTAATGACGATGTGGCAATGGCTCACCAAATAGTGAAAGAAACGACTGAAGCTTGACTAAAGAACTACCTAGCACAGAAAAACTTGGGGCGCCACAGTGTTAAGCTGGAAGTGGGCGCGTTGGTGTATGTTATGTTAAAGAGCGGAATAAGCAGCAAACTGCAATCAAAATGGAGAGGACCATTCAAAGTAACGGAAGTGATAAGGGAAGGTGGTGCATACCGATTAAAAGACCCACTCAGTGGAAAAATAAAATGCAGATCCGCGGACAAAAGAAAACCTGCTGTTCGCTGCGACAAATTTTTCGTAGGCGTCTTTATCGTAATTTTGAAATTAGTGACGAGGGTACACAAGTTCAAGTTAGGGCCAGAACAATTGAGGACAATGCAAGTAGTGACAATAGCGATGAGAGTGATACAGACGAGGGAAGAAACCGACCCCAAAGAAACAGAAAAGCACCAGAACGGTTAGGTTATTCAGGCAAAGGTTCACAGGACAGGCAAGAGTAACAGCAAGTGAGGGGCTAGAAGATGGTTAGACAACAGAAGTAGGAAGGACGGACAGGGCTGGAGTCAACAGGGACCATAAGGAGCCAGCCAGGACAGAACGCTACTCGACCTTAAGGAAGAGCTAACATTGGTAGTTGAAGGGCAAGTCTTGCACAAGATAGGCTACCTGCCGAACCGGGACAGCGCCCAGAATTGTACGATATAGTCTGGCAGAAATGGGTGGGCAGGCCGAAAACCTTCTGAATGGCGCGGTCATCAGGTCGCAGCAGCACTTGGAAACCAGCAAGGGATATCAGGGTGCGTTTGGCCTCGAGATCGCCAACGAGCGAATGTCTATCGAGACAAAAGAGCCAAAGAAATAATCCGCAGTGGTAGTAGCCTGTCCGGGAGATGGATAATAACAGTGCAAAGAGAAATAATGCCCCAGAGCGACCAAGCACCTGTGTAACCAGTAACCTGTGCCTTAATAAATTGTTATATATATGTATATATTTTTATACAATGTGCAGTTTATATTTTTGTATCAATTTTTTATGTTAGGATATGATTTGGGAATTTGTTTTTTTTTTTTTTTTTCATCTGTAGATGAAGCTGGACATCTTCCGAACTGGAAAGAAGCTGAAATAATCCATGAAGGATTAAGCAAATACAAAAGGAAGGTTATGGAAGCTGCATACACCGCAACAGAGGAAAATATGAACATCACATCGGGTAGATTCAAACTATCCAAGGTTGCAGCAGCAATTATGCGTACAATGAGCACAAGGTCACAGTCATCAGGTAATTCATCAGCTTCTATGTAATATAAATATGCTGTGTATTCTCCCAAATGTATGTATTTCTGACGAAGATATAATAAAACCTGTTAAATACATCTTGTATTGTGAAGATATTCGTTCTCATTCATACCTTTCCATATATATACATGTATATATATACATATATATATATATATATATAAATATATATATATATATATATATATATATATATATAATATATATATATATATATATATATATATATATATATATATATATATTAATACACTAGTGGCACCACCCTTGAATAGCACAAATGTACCTCTATCACCCTCCAAATATATCAAAGCATAAAATATTGAAAAAAAAACACACAATCAAGGTGTTCATTATACATGTGAGTAACACTTCTGAAAATATTTTTGACTTTGGTACATCACATTTAAACGGCAGACAAAATTATGGACACAAAATTTGGACACAAAAGCACATTCAAGATATGGTGAAAATTTTTTCTATAAAAAAAAAAAAAAAAAAAAATACAAAAATGCACGAAAACTTAGGAGTCATATGACAGATATTTAATTTAGTGTGTTTCTGATTTCCAATATAAATGCATCTGATGAAATAATCCTTCAAAGTAGCATAACATTTATCGTGAAATCAACCATTGATGTAATAAATGTTACATTACCTAGAATCACTGTAAGCCATTATATGGGATAATATCTGTATGGATTTTATCTATTTGAAAGTTATAAATACATTTAGATTGTTTGGAAGGAATTGGTCATTTAAGATTCTTTCTTTAAAGTAACAGAATTCACGGTGTCCAATTTTCAATCTGCAATAACACTGTCTTTAGTAATAATAATAAAAGGGGGGGGGGCAAGTGTTTTGTTCTGAAAGACTGCATTATTATCAGAAGAACTCCGACTGCTCAGGGATTTTTAACATTGGACACCATGTGATGAATGTTACATTTTTGGCAGTGTACAAATATTAGACATTTTTTTTCAAAAATTGAAAAGCCAAAAAAACCATATATATATATATATGATATATATATATATATATATATATATATATATATATATTATATATATATATATATACATATATATATATGTATACACACATATATATATATATATATAATATATATATATATATATATATATAATATATATATTATATATATATATATATATATGTATATCTTTAATGGCATCTAGGCTGGAGTAAGACACACCTCTGGTAAAAAAAAAATCATAAAGACCTGTTCATAACTTTTTGAGCCATCCTGCACAGGAGCTGCTTCATGATCAGGATCACCACCGAATTGTAATGGCATCTTGGGCGAAGACAACTCTGATAAAGGTTTAATGGCATCTAAATTGGGCTAAGACACACCTCTGGTAAAAATCTGTTCCTATCAGAGTTATCCTGCTAACCAACCAACAAACTAACTAAACACTACCAAAAGCATAATCACCTTGGGGGAGGTAATAACAATGATAATAACAATTGTTATTATCATTGTTATCATTATTATTATTATTATTATAATTATTATCATTATTATTAATATAAAATATATTAATAATAATGATGAAGATAATGGTAATAATAAAAGAAGAAGAAGAATAGTTTATGATTAAAAAGATTAAAGGAGCAATCAAAAGAAGATTGTATGCAAAAATATATTTGTTCTAATAAAGCAATTTTCATTAGGTATCAGTCTCACAAGTAAAACAATATTATGGCACAAGAAAGTAACTCATGATAATGACACACCAGTTGTGATAAAGTTTTAGTATATACTCTTTTTTTTTTTAGCTAGAATGCACTAAAACTATATATACTAGTCATTTGTTACTACACATTTTAAAAGTTGAATGAATTTATGTATAGAAATGATTAATAGCCAAACTGATTATTTCAAATTATCTGCCACATCAAAAGCTCAGGTGAAAGTGAAATAAACACAGTGATTCTTTTAATTTTCTATTCAATACCTGTAGTGGCTTCTAAATTCTTATCATCAAATAGCATTAACAAATCCTTATGAAAAACTGCAACACCCCAGTCAACACTATGGTTGGTACTTTACCTACACTACATGTAAATACTATCATCATGTTTTTGATGCTTGGACAGTAATCCTTGCTATCCAGACTCCTTGTGTGAGAAGAGTGTAAGTACTACAAGGGATTCACCTAGAAGCTTTTCTTATTTTCCACCTAAAAAACAGCACTCGGGCTTTGAAACTTTCAGGGGAGAAGCAGGGGCCTAGGAACTCCTTGAAAATGCATTTAACTCAATTTCGGCAAGATGGGCAAAAAATGGCGAAAAAATTCACTGATTTATGTTCCCCTTGATATATACCGACAGATCTCGAAGTACCTCTCATTTACCCAAACTGACCCTATTATTATTTATTTTTATTTTATTTATTTTTTTTTTTTTTTTTTTTTCTTAATCTCAATTCATAATATAAACTATTTTTTTTTATATACTCTTAACTACTGCATTATTTTTATAATTCATTTTTATTCTTTTCTTATCTATAATATAAGCCTTAGCACTGCATAGCTATTCACTATGAAAGCATCCTAAAAGCTTGTTCTATTTCCCACAGTTAGTGTGTTTTAGTGTTAGTGTTTAGTCTTTTTGAAGGACTGGTACCCTCTCCGAGCAATAATGAGCTGTCAGTATTTACTAACAGGGGAGTTTCGATTTGAATTGGCAAATCTAGCAGCGCTGAAGGGAGTTAGGTCGTGGATGGGATCATGACCTTGGACCATTCCAGCCAGCATCTCGCCAACAGCTGGCGCATACTTAAAGCCTCGACCTGAAGAAAAATAATAGTTATTTTTATGCTCCTATTCCAGCAAACAGGGGTTCCTAAAATATCACTTTCTCTATGATAGAGATTATAAAAAATTAACTAAAAAATCATAACTGTTTCATTACTAAAAAAAAAAAAAAAAATCTTAACACATACATATATGACTAAGTCATCTGATCTGAAATTAAAAACTAACCTGAAAAACCAACAGCATACACTATATTTTTATGCTCTGGGTGGTAATCTATAACAAAATCTTCATCAGGAGTCACCTGCAAAAAGATTTATCATTATCCTTATTATTACTATCATAATTATCCTTATTGTTTATATGATCATTATATGTACACAAATGATCTTTTTTTTCAGTTCTTCAGTATTTATCTTTCATTTTTCTATCTATTTCCTCTATGTATCAACATGAGGAGAGGAGAGGAGAGACTGACAAATTTCCTAAAAAAAGTTTATCCTCATTCACATACCGTATACATGCAAGACTCTTCAATAGCTGGCTCGGACTCAATATTTGGCATGTGCTGTTGGATGTATTGGGATATTTTCATCTTTATATGTGACATATCTACTTTATCTCTTGTACTTGGAGTCGTCTCTACACCTTCATGGAGTCCAATCTATCCAGGGAAAATTGATGGTTTGCTTCAATTTGCTTCAAAATGAATCATCTACGTACATGCAAAAACAATGAAGACATGCACACACACACACACACACACACACACACACACACACCACACACACACACACACACACACACACCACACACACACACACACACACACACACCACACACACCACACCTCTATCCACTTACCCACCCACACTCACACCCATGTACACATTTTCCCAAAATATATTTTAATTCTTGATCTTGCTGTGTAACACCTATCATTATGAAAGCCTCATTATACAAAAGAAAAAAAAAAAGAAAATACTTACTTTAATAAGGCCAGGGTACTCTATTGGCGAAACAGCATAGAAGAAATTTTGTGGATCTGACATGTCACAAATGGTACCGCGGGGAAAACTGGAATCCTTCACTTTCCAATAATATACACCTAATCGTACAGTTCTGGTAATGAAGACACAATGGTAAATCTCTAAGAATTATTCACAAGGAAGATTTTATTTTGATCATTTCTATCATGACTGATTTTGTACAACTGGTACACTGTGCATATCAGGGAATTCATGAAAAAAAAAATTCCTGCAGTCTAACTTATTGCTGTAAATCCTAGCAATACACAGCATAATATAAGACAAACTCTAAAATCATTCCGTGAATAATACCAAGTCTTATAAGTACAAAACTACATACTTTAATGGCAGATCAATGCCTAAAGGTGTGAGGACCTCCGTTGCCCAAGGTCCCGGACACAGCACCAGACTCTTGGCTCTGATGACGCTCCTACGGCCTTTCACTTGCACCCACGGATCTCCGGGTTCTATGCTTGTGACAGGCCAAGCATCGATGATAACACCACCGAGATTTTTGAACAGCCTCTGGTTTTAATGAAGTTTTCATATTAGCAATATAACCGCAATCTGTTTTTGTTAGTTGCTTTTTTTCTATATATGGTTCATCAAAAGCATGTAAACTTTGTGATCATAATTACAGAAAACTCAACCATATTTCCTTCTTGTCTTTGAAATGCTTACTAAATTTATCATCTTTATTTTCAAAATGATGTGCTTTAGGAAGTTTGGATGTAAGGACAGCATTATCAGTATATTATTTTTTCCATGTCTCATCACAAGCATACATTACC